AAATATATTGTCAATTTTGCTTCAATTTCAATGAAATTTTCGCTTGACAAAATTACGTTTTAAAATAATTTGCATAATTTTTTCTGGAAGTTGCATCTCAAGTCTACATTTTGGTACAAAATGAATAGTGATTGCATGGATTTCCAGTACAGCAGAAGTACCTAATAATAAAAATAATAATGAAATTACAAATTAAGCAAAATTGGCAAATGTTGGTTAAACATCGGTAAAAAAAATACGTATTCGCTGCCACATTTGGACATTGGACAATGACTTATAAAAGCCTAAGTATAGAATTATTATTAAAAGATTTAAACTTTGAAACAAAATATTTCTCATTTTTAACTTTTTTGTCTTTAGTACCACCAGTAGGTCTTCTATGACCTTTCCAGAGAAAATTAGTTACTTTTTTATTATGTTTATTAATATCTGTATTGAAAATATTAAAATTTTTTCAACCAAAAAAGTAATACTTCGCTTCATTCATCGAGTTGAATTTCCAACACTAATACCTAGTGGTGCATATTTTCTTCTACCGTTTTTCAAAGCCATATTTACACAAGGTGTTTCATATCGACGCCACATTCCCAGTTTTTTATTACTTTTATTATGGTTGGAACCTGTTGTTCCCAGCCAATATGGTGTTAACACATTGTTGGAATGTTGCTTTTTGATATTTATTACGCGCATTGGAATTGGAAATATTGCTAAATTGTGCAGTTTTTTGCGCTTACCGAGAGCGGATTAATAATGTGTCTTTTGTGTGAATAAATTGGCGTTATGGCTTCATCGATTAGTGATATATGTGAGTTTCAAATTGCGTCAATTTTTCATCGACCGAAACTCCCACTTTCTCTATGCGGTTGAAACGGCAATCATTTGCCAAGTAATCAAAACAGATTACGGCAATATTTCAAGCCGTGATGGGCTTTTTTTCAACAATAACACCAAAGTTATTTATTCTAATAACCCATTTACCGACTGGTATATCGCGCTACCATCTAACAGAGTTGTAACAACTTTATGTACGCTAACGGTAACGTACCGTCATTTTTGTATTTGGAACGAAGAAGTCGCTCCTTTCTAACAGTACTCAAAATTACAATAAGAGATTTGATAAATGCGGTACTTTGGCTGGTTATTTTGTGATATAAGAAATGTAATCTTAATGTTGATTTGCTGATTAAAAGTCGAGATTTGTGGTTGTTTGTTAAACTTCTGGTTTTAGTTTTGGTCTTTACATGGAGTGTTTTATTGCTTTTATGTTGCGACATTGTGGTTGGAATGGAACATGCATTAGGTAGATTTCTCTGTTCAAATTGCAACATATTTTGTACAAGGACACTTAGTTAATTATACATTTTTGTCTATTTGAAATGCATCGCACACTGAATAAGGGGAATTATTTTAAAGCATTGGAATTGTTCTATGTGTAGGTCTCTCACAAAACCAAATAACGAAATCAGTAACATGAAAATCGAATTACAAGAACAGCAGTCTAACAAAGTCCACTCCAGCTCCTTACATGTAGATCGGATACCCGCAAATAACCGTAATTAGGCGAACACATTCCAAGAATGACTTATGTTCAATACCAGGGTAATTATTTCTTATGTACCTGAATATATTATTATGTATGTCGTTGAGAATGCGATGCATAAAGCGGGTACAGAGAGCTCATACTACTATGCGTTGTTAAAATTAATTGCATAATCCACCATTGCTGTTAATTATACGTTTGGAAAATTGTTATGCCAGTGACCATCTTTTTACGGAAATCGGATTAAATTGAACCTTTTAATATCAACATGATTTTAATCATCTCACTGTGTATGGAGGTGTGATTTTTTAGTGAAAACTCTCATCGTTTTCATGAACGCAGTGCAAGCAAATTTAGTCACAATAGAAGAGAAAATTTGGAAATTTGCCAAGCTAGAAAGAGGTGTGTCATATACTCTTAAATTGTGAAATTCGGGGGAATTGGGAATTTTTATTGTAAACTATTTTCGTTTTAGTAAAAGTCAAATGTAACCTATTTTGTTCGGTTTACTACCGCAAGTTTTGTAATGGGATTTTCAAAGTAAATGCGCAGGTTTCGATGGAATAAACTGTGCATTCGAAATCTTGATGTACATTTTCTTCAAATCGTTTGAAGTGTGGTGCACAGGACGAAATGTGAAAAAAAAATTCTACAATATGTATAATTTTTGACAAAAACTTTGTTTTTGGAAATTTTATTTATAAACATTTCAAGTATAGTTTTTCATCGTTTTCAATTTTAGGTTAAAAAAATTATTTTAATAAATTAACAGAACATTATTTTTAACAATCCATTTATTCAAAACTAATTTGGTTTAGTCGAAACAATGTAGTTTTATTGTTTGTTTGTCTTTCCGTCAATGAAATATTGTCTAATTTAGCTTCTAGTTTGCAATTTTTATTCAACACTGATCTCTTAACCCAGATAACAAACAACTGATATAATTCAAAATTTTTATGATTATGATATATAATCATGAACATTTTTAAAGTAGAAATAAAATCGTCTATAGAATCTCCTGAAAATGCAAATGACATTTTCAATTTTTTTATTTAAATTTAAGAAAATAAATCCTATAAATTCTATTACTAGCAACTTTCAGTCGAAACTAAAATAAAATGATAAACACAGGAATCTCTGTGAAGTTCAATTTTGATGAAACGGTCATCAAGTATTTAAGGCTTTTGAACGCTGATCTAAACAACCGATAAAATGGAATAAATATATTTTAATTGTACGTACTTTCCTGACTGTGTTTCAATTCCAAAATTAAAATCAAGTCCTGGGTTCTTCAGTCATTTATTTATTGTTCATTTATCA